TTTTGAATTCTTCTTTCCTTTGTGTTTTTCAGGAGTTGAAGAAAATTGAGTCGCAGCATGACGAAGGGTGAACCGAGGCGATACAAGTGCCGTGAGTGTACCAGTTGGTACCTGCATCGGGCAAGCCTATGGCGCCATATCAGAGACATCCATGGGCCGGCGACGAACACCTTGATGTGTAGCAGGTGCGACTACGTTGCAGGTCAGGTGTATATCCTCCAGCATCACATGGAGACGGTACACAAAATTGGTGTGGTGAAGGGTGCAGCTGGTCCTTCCCAGGCACCAGAGTCTTGGAGCGTCAGTACGGTGACAAAGGTCGCAGAGAGCCGTGCAGCAGGTCCGGGTACGTCCTCCAGTGCTGGGTTGCCACCGGCAGCAGTGCCAAGTGGGGTCACGCCAGTCGTCGATGCATTGTCCCTGTCAGCCTCACCAATCCAGGATTCCCCGAAAGTTTCAACCTCGCCAAAGTTGGTTGTCCCCCCTTTTCGCCCCTTGGGAGGCAAGCCGAAGGGGATGATGCAGATGGTGAGAGCGGCCGAGGCCACGTCCCCATCCTCAGCATCACAGTCTTCATCCCAGGAGGAAGAGGAGATGTTCCCCACTCAGAAAAGGGAGGATCCTCCGAAGAAGAGAAGGCGCACAGCTACCGTCCGAGAGTACACCTGCATGCAGGTTTTCCTCGATGGGAAAGTGGTCAAGACGGATGAGCATAACAGCGTCTACACGAAGCAGATAGAGGTAGATGATGAGGGAAAGCCAACAGGGAAATAAACAGGACGACGCGTTCTAGTTTAGGGTTTTTGTTTCATTTTTCTGATTAACCAAGTTTCTTAAGGTTTCCAAAGTGTTGAACAGTTCAAGTTTTCAAAAAAGTTTTATAAAGTTAAGGTTTATTGTCGGTAAAAAGAGAGAAAAAATAATAATAATAGAATCAGTCTTGAAATCATATAGAAAATCTTACAAAATCTGCTGATGTGAATTTTGATGTATAAAGAAATCTTTATTTTATATAAAACAGAAATCCTAATTAACAATTTCGTAGATCTTGTAAAACGCCTAATTTTTGCACTGGGTGACTTCTCGTAAAAACAAATTGTGTAAATATTAAAATTGACAAATTCTTAGCTAAGACTCTGTAAAATTTATCCTAGTCAAAACATGTAAAATTTCGAGTTGAGAAAATCTTACATCATATTTAATGTGTATTTCATTATTTCAGAATTATCTTAACATTCCAGCAGGTGATCAAGCGAAAAATTATTTCAGAGCATTTATATTTTAATCGTTGTAAAATCAGTGGAAATTATCTGTAAAATTTCTTGTGAATTTTTAATGAGCTGAATTTAAGGAAAATTGTGTACGATCATTCCCTGTTAAATCTTGTGAATATTTAATTAGCAGCAAACTTTGGTGTTCCTGTACATGTAGAGTACATGTAAGGCAAGTGCCCTTATCCGGTGTATAAGAGCTTGTGAATATTTAATGAGCTTTGAAATCTGCCCCCCCCTTATGTTTTATATTATAATTTAAAGAAAAAGTTAAGCTTTAAGTTTTATATTGTAATTTAAAGAAGAAGTTAAGATTTAGTCACACTTTCCTTTTATTTTTATTTATGGCTTAGAGTTGGGGACAATCTCTGCCATTGGTCGGGCCCATGTGACGGAAAGTGTAGTTTTTATGCCCTTGTTCATGTTATTGTATTCTAATCTTATGAATGAACTGTAGTATAGTACGCCCGTGACTGGGCGTGGCTTAGCAGTCAGGGTGTGTGTGTATGCACGCACACGATTGGTTAACAAAGCCCCATATGTTTAGTGCATCATATTGGTTTAGTGCATGTGCTATGTATGTGCGTAAGTAGATTGCTACGTACGTACGCGCGGGAGGTTTCTGGCAAGTGGCAGCGAGCTGTACAAACGTGAGTTGGGTGTGCCCTCGCTGTGGCGTGTATTGCTATATGGTGATTTGCGCTATATGCTAGCTACGCGCGGGCGAACTGTTGGACAGTTTAGCCGTACACTTGTGGGTGCATTGTGGTTGATTGGGGCTGGGCCCATGGTTTCGTAGTGCTACGTGCGCACAAACCATATCTCCACAGTGGCACTGAGCTATGCAATGTGATATTGTTTAGGCAGTGCAGCATTGGTTGTTGCGTTGCTGTATTGTTTCTACATTGCAGCATTGGTCTGTGCATTGCTATAGTGTTCGTGTATTGCAGCATTGGTCTGTGCATTGCTATAGTGTTCTATATATTGCAGCATTGGTCTGTGCATTGCTATAGCGTTCATGTATTGCAGCATTGGTTGTGCATTGCTATAGCATTCCTGTAATGCAGCATTAGTTTGTGCAGTGATTATTGGAGTGAGCAGTGCGATATTAGTTGTGTATTGCAAATAGGGCTCATATTCGAAAACCACAGGTTGTAATAAAGCTACCCAAGACAATTACTCCCAAATCATTTAATCATTTAATTGTTGTCTCTGAAATAAATCATTGTGTTACTTGAGATTACCGACCATTCAGTTGCCAGTTGTCCTTGTTATTGTGTTATTGCCTAGTTAACAGAAGGTTTAGGGATCAATTCCTGCGGCGGTAGATTTCCACCCAAAACGAGCCTGCATCCTTAGCCTTTAGACTGCTTTGTGTAGTCCCTGGTCCGAGGAATAACTTGGTTCGGGAACAGTCCCGCCACATTAGCTTATTGCAGTATGACACAAACAATGCAGTACATAACTTTATTGACATGCTATCTTCTCAATTTTATCCTACTATAAATAAACCTACAAGAGTTACTGAAAGTAGTGCAACTGTGATTGATAACATTTTAACATCTCTATAAAAAAATTCTACAAAATCCTACTTCTCAAAATAAATCTATTTATACTCTGTATAAAAAAAAGTTAAATCCCTTAATCAAATATCCAAGAAAAGCTATTTTAGCAAAATAAAATAACCAGGAAAAGGGTAATATCAAAGGAACTTGGATAAGGGTAAGCGAAAAGACAATCCCTCTCATTTTGTTCAAGATGGTGTAACGATTGACAATTATAACAAAGAAATTGCTGATGCATTTAATGAGTATTTTTTTACCGTTGGCTCTAGAATTGCAAGTAATCTACCATTACGTAATGCCACATTTGCATCTTTTCTTTGTGATCGACAGGTAAACTCTCTTTTTTTTTAAACCTATTCTGCAAAAGAAATTGTAGACATTCTTAACAAAATTCCTAATGGAAAGGCCCCTACCTTTGATGGCCTAAGTGCTTTTGTTATCAGACAGGCTTAGTATGTCTTAGCAAAGCCACTTGCTTGTATCTTTAATGAGTCTCTGGTTACAGGTGTTTTTCCAAATGGTCAAAAGATAGGAAAGGTCACACCAATATACAAGAGTGGCGACAAACATAATATTAGTAATGATAGACCTAAAACAGTATGATCTACATTCTCAAAAAGTGTTTGAAAAAAATAATATACTATCGTCTTATAACTTTTATAAATAAACATAACCTTTTGTCCGAATCGCAATTCGGATTCAGGGAAAAGCGATCAACTGAACTAGCAACGTCGTATGTTGTTCATAAGTTGCTCAAAGCCATAGATGATGGTACATTTTTATTGGTATTTTTTTTTACCTTTCCAAGGCTTTTGATACAGTTAATCGTGAAATCTTAATTTGTAAACTGGAAAAGTATGGTATTCGTGGTGTATAGCCTTAAACTGTTACTTATCTGAACAAAAAGAATTTGTTTCTTATAACTCTGTAAATTCAAACCAGCAATCTATCCACTGTGGTGTTCCCCAGGGCTCTACATTAGGTCCTCTACTATTTATTCTGTATATTTACGATATATTTTATACATCTGACATCATATCATTCTGCTTGTTTGCGGATAACACAAGTTTGGTGTAATATTGAACTTAAAAAAAATTAGTCACTTGGCTTTTAGCAAACAAATTGTGTATAAATCTGTTTAAAACTAACTATATGATATTTTTCTTGAAGACAACAAAAGTAAACCCAATCTGTTCCACTTGTTTTAAATGATATAATTTAAATCGTGTCACGATTATCAAATTTCTTGGTGTGTCAATGGATGAACATCTTACATGGAAAAAACACATAAGTGATATCTAGAGCAAGATATCAAAAACGTTGGTATAATGAATCGCTTAAAGTTCCTATTCCAAGCAACATTTTAGTTATGCTTTATAATTCTTTAGTTCTCCCATTTTTTAACTTTTCAGTTCTAAACTGGGGTAGTTCCTCAGTAAATTTTGACAAACTTTTGTTGTTACAAAAGCGAGCTGTTCGCATCATTTCTAATGTTGGCCACCGTGATCATACTGCTAGCTTATTTGCAAATCTAAAACTGTTACGAATTAAAGACATTTACTACTTAAATTAAGGTAAATTTATGTACATGAATAATTCATTACCTGCTTGTTTTAGCTCATAGGCCTATTTTACGTTATCATCAAACATACATTCACACAATACTCGAAGTGCTTCTAGAAAAAATATCCATGTTTGTTACAGTCGAACGTCCTTGTTTAAAAACAGTCCTATTCAACGTGGTGTAAATTACTGGAACAGTCTTAGTAAAATCTTTGAAAAAGTCACCATCACAAACTATATGTGTCGAAAAACTGAAGAAAAAAAACAACTTCTTGATGCATATTTATAACTGTTATGTTTATAACTGTTATGTTAATTTATCTCGTAATGTTATCATGGGCGTCGCCAGGATTTTTTCAAGAGGGGGGCAAAAAAAAATTGCCAAAAAATGCTTGTATTTCTCAACACATTCTCGATTTATCAGTTTTAGAGGGGGGCAGGGACATTTCCCCCCCCCCCCCAACTCATTACATTTACACCACTTTGTCTTCGCGCCTCTTTTTTTTTTTTTTTTTTCTTCCTTTTTTTTTGTTGCTTTTCCAGGGGGGGGGGCAAGTGCCCCCCCCTTGCCCCCCCCCTATCGACGCCCATGAATGTTATGTCTTAGTACCTGCATGCACACTCATTCGCTGTTGTAGTCCTTTGTCCTGTCTGTCCTGTTGTCTGTCCCTAGGTTAGGCTTCAAAAGCATTCTTGCCTCACCCAAACCTATATAAATGTTGTCCTTTGCGTAATAATTTGATATTAAACTTAACCTGTAATATTGTACGTGATGCAACACATCTGAACTAAAATTTGTCTTGACATTTTCAACAGAATCTCAATATTGGCTATGTTAGCAATACACCAGTTACTATGCAATGCTAATAATCTGAATTTAAAAAAGTGATTAAATGTGTATCCGTGTATCAAATAAATGAAATAATGATCCAAAAGCAAGATTATCTTAAGTCAATTGAATATCGAATATGAGCATTTATACAGCACTCAGTGCTAACTACAATCATTGTCAGATCTAACTCCACGACTTTTTAAAATAAGTTTTTCGCAGGAATTTACCAACTGTTTCTGGTGGTTTTTTTTAACCTATTATGTCAAGTTGTTTTTGAACATTTACTAGGCAACCATTGAGCAGCTTCCAATACCTTGCATATAAAGAACACTTTCGACATAAGACTGTCCTTTCACCAAACAAAATGTAAATTTTTAAGGTAAACAAGATATCGTTTCAATAAAATGAGCTACATTTCATATTTATTTTGCAGAAGAATGCAAATATGCACGTGCCATCTTTCCACTAAGAATATTACTCCTTTACTACAGGTATTCCAAATATATAATGTCAATTATGTAATGCTGGAAAAACCTGTGTACAATACGTTAAATACAATAACATTGCTAGTATGGTTTGTTCCTTCTAGTTTTCTGGCGATACCGACAGTCGTTAATTTCCTGAAAACTTCACCCCTTTTTTATATCAATGCTTTGTGCAGCTTGCAGGAATCTGTGCAGAAATTTCCAAATCAGCAAGTTATCATTTGCAATTAATTTGCACAGTACTTATCTAATGACAATTTTATTGACATAATCCAAGGGATCATGGGCGGCGGTCGCATGGCTCCCGCTGGTTTCTCCGTCACTACACGGGCCGTCAGCACCAAAGGCGGTCTCCTGCTGCATCGGGACCAGATAGCTGTCGTCTGTGGCACCAGGTTCTTCGCGATGTTCGATGGGTCGCTTACCAACCACACCCGCACTAGGAGCTGCTACGTAGTCACGGTCTCCCTCCAACAGTTCTTCCAGCTCGTTGGCAACTTGGACGAAGGTGCAACGTGATTTGGGGTTGTCCTGCCAGCAACGTACCATTATGCCGTAGCTGTATCAGTCAGCAAATGTAACAAGAATCATTAGATGCTGCATGCTTGATCGTATATCAAATTGTGTTTGCACTTTTACTTGAAACCCCCGACAATACACTTTCCATTATTACTGATTACTCGAGCACATTAACCCTACATTTTTGAGAAAAACTGTTCACGAGAATTGAGTTTCCCTTTTTTTATTTGAAACCCCAAATAAAACAATCTTCACTGTTTCTCACAACTAGAGAGTGTTATACCTACTTTCAATTATGTAAAACCTTTGAGAGTAAAATAGATGCATTAAGATCCCTTCACCTTCAGAAAAATTTGAGCAAAATATAAAAGAATCATGCATACTTTTACAGAAGTTAAAACGGCATTAGATGTGTTATTATTTAAAGGTAATGGTGACCGCTGTTTGACCATACATTTCTGGCGGGCAGTTCTTGGGAGCATCCATGCGTTGACCTCTCTTCAAGAAATCATACACATCTTGGTTGGGTATTCCTGGATACGGTTTGGCACCCTTACTGAAAATCTCCCACAGGAGCACACCATATGACCACTGTAGAAAACCAAAGAAGACAAATATTTGTCAATGTTAGAGACCATTCGAATGATAACTGTTCAATTGAGCTACCGAACAGTTGACATGAGCAAGCTGGAAAGAGTAGCCAAGATTAACGAAGATTGACCGAACTACATTGTATTTGAGTCTTTATTGAACTGTTTAATGAGATCTTGTGTCAAATTGAAATAAAAACGTTCATTACTAAGTTAACTTAGAAATCAGTTCGAGGTGGGCGTCTTAAGACGAAATAATCCAGCTAATGAGGGTCAGGCGCCTTGAAAACATACCCGATGTAAATTATCAATAAACTGACATTTTATGACCGGACATCGAAGTTCATGTAGTTTCTCTTCGAAGGATAGTTCCACAGAACGCAAAGAGATGTGTTTTGCTTTCTTTTCCGTTAAGATCTTTATCTAAACATCATCTAACATTAAATCAAAGATGGATTTAATTGCGTACCACGTCAGTCCTGGCGTTGTACACTCGACGTTCCATGGACTCGGGAGCCATCCATTTGATAGGCAGCTTAGCCTGGGCATCGCCGCTTGTGTAGTAATCCGATTCGTGCATGTCACGGGATAGTCCAAAATCCGCTATCTTCACCAGAAGATCACTGTTCACCCTAATGAGGTTGTTAAAAGTTTATCTTACTTTGGGGTCACATCATTTAAGAATCGCAATACCATTAATTCGAACTCTGGAGTTAATTCAATGAATGCCTGTCCCTTGGTATCTCTGGTGCATTAAAATTATTTTTGATGAAACAGCTGACCGATTTCTCGTAACATTCATTTTGCTTTTTCTCAAACACACATGAAAAGACATGTGTAAAAGCCCCGGATGATAATAGAAGAGAGGATACACTCACATGCAATTTCTGGCCGCAAGATCTCTGTGGACAAACTTGTGCTGAGCCAAGTAACTCATACCGAGTGCGGCATGTGAGGCAAACCTCATCAACAGAGATGTCGCCAAGGTCTTAATTGAAAGTAAAAACCTCAAATGAATAAATAAATACTACACACTCATAACAAAACACATGACATACTGTTTACGAAATGGGACAGCATTTTGTTTAATAAATCTCGTGAGTGAGCTATTATTTATCAAACGTAACAACATCTACCAAAATCACCATTAAGTCAGTTCCAAACTCATGCCACTCATCACCAATTCTTTTATCAAACCTTCCTCTATTTGTTATCGACATTGATCGCTCTTGACTACATACCTGTTTCTTCTTGACCAGATATGTCTTGAGGTCACCGTTGGCCATGAAGGGTATCACCACCAAGGGGTTTTTGACCGCGTCAAAGGTCAACCCCAGAAGCCCCAGTACGTTGACATGGTCGAAGGTTTTCATGATCAGGCCTTCCTCCAGGAACTTCACCACATTTTTCGGGTCCGAGGTGTCTATACATGCAAAAGTGGGGCATTTATACGTGATAACTGGCACGCCCAACTTACATTTGGCAAAGCTACTACACAAAAACAGGAACTTGTATTTCAACTTATTTTCATCACCACAGAAATGCAATAACCCAGAGACACATTCAATTCAGTTTAAGAACATTTTACAAGCCACAATTCGCAATTCTGAATGAAAAGACTCTTTCAGCTCTTTCAATCAAGACGCACATTGATTAATGTTTTTCGTTCCTCTTTCTCGGTATAAGGTCATCCAACACCTCTTCTGTAACTCTAATTAGCAATAAGTATAATCAAGACCAAAATGCATACCATTCTGAAATGGGTCCTTTTTAACCGAGGAACAACTTTTCAATGCTTTGTTTTGAATCCATGATACTCAGTCATAGAAAACATCTCTCACAAATGGCCGACATTCTCATCACCAACCTTGCACTGTCTTTACGGCCACAATTTGATCTTCCCCTGACGTATCGTGTAGAACAGCTTTCAGTACACGCCCAAATGCACCTGTAAAATTTATTCAAGTGTTTTATACTCATCTTTGCTGATTATCTTTTGCTGGTGCGAAGACTAGCCAGATGGCAGACCAACCGTCCTACCGACCTACCGACTTACTGACAGACCGAGCGACTGAGTCTAAATAATCTCCTAAAGGTCGAAACGTGAAAATGTGTTTCAATCACGCCAATAACGGTTTGCACACACAGCCCCTTTATATAGGCCTCTCCTTCTCAGGTAAAATAACAGCTTACACTTTGAACTCATGAAATGTTTATAGTTTCGTCGTACAAAGTCACTACCTTGTCCGAGAGTTTCCCCCAATTCCAGTTGGCTGAAGTCGATATGAATGTCGTCGGGAACGAAGCTGACCTTGTTGTTCAGGACAATGCGCTTTTGTTTTGGCTGAGCAGATTCCGACTGTTTCTGGGATCTATACCACCTGCGTCTTTTGACGTGGGAGTCAATTTCTGAAGAAAAAAAATACAATGTCGCATTAACAGTAAATAACGTAATATAGTGGTAAGTTTACGAGCACGTTCAGGCTTACAAATCGGCAGACAAAACAACCTTTGCATGCTATACAAGATTCACAAGTTGTCTAAAATGTTAAACGCAATCTTGGCAAAAGAGTTCTATATTTATTTTTGTTTTTGTAGAGAACTTTGTTTCATCCTGTCTACAACTTGACAATTTACAGTCAAATGAGGAGCACGCCATTTGAATTCTTTTGCCGTGTATTTTACTTTCAAAACCGGCTGCCCGTTAGCAGCCATCTTGAGATGATTTTTTTTTCAGAAGTAGATCATAATTTAATACGGAGATGTGCAGCTACGTCCTGTTTAATTTTTTTTCTAAACTATCATAATTATGTTGAAAATAAAGAATTGATAAGTAGCCGTTAGACTCAAGTGATGAAGAATAAATGGATATTAAGTTTTAAAGGGTTTCAGGATGTTTACCATTTCGCCGTTTTGAGATCGAGTGATTTTAAGAGCATATTCCTAGGTAGAGTGAGATTATCCCTTTGCCGCAGTTTTGTGCACCTTATTTGGCAATCAGGGGTATAATTAACTCAAGTCACCTCCTGCCACCAGCACTTACCAAGATGAATCGCCACTATCCTGCCCAAAAGTCTTCGGTCGTGGGTGCGCTTCCTTCGCAATTGTCTGCAATACACGAAGGTAGCAGCGAGCAGTATCGCCATGGAGAGTGGAATGACCAAACTCGGTACAAGTATAGCGACAAGTGGCACCGTACTGGGATAGACCAAATAGCCCAACCTAAATTTTAAGTTATTGTGGCGAACCTATGAATAATACAAATGAAATGATAAACAATTCAACAACTGACATAGACTTAACCAATTCGTTAATGTCGACGCTATAATAATTACCTTTGAAGAAACAATCAACAATGAAAAAGTAGTGTAATTACGTTTTGGGGAGAACTGGCCGAATTTTGGGCGTTTTTGAACCTTTCGGATTGAGTATAACAGATGTTCAATCCGAAAAGGAAAAGGATAAACTTCCCCCTTGGGGCCGCAAAAGAAGGAACAAATTTAACAAACAAAAAAACACTTGACAGCTAACCTCTGATTCAAACATGGATCCGCCTCTAACTTACCCATACCACAGGCAGACCTTTCCCAGTATCTTTTCCCATGAAGTCCCCGGCTGCTGGTGCCTCATCGGGCAATTCACATACGAGTGATGTCTCACTGATCAAGTTGACGTCACAGCTCTCTTCGCCGATCGTCACCTTGATTTCTACAGCTGTGATGGCGCTGTTAATCCGCTTGCCCTGTTAAAGCATCCACAGGTAATTTAAGTTAAATACTTTTCAAGGAAATTTATTGGTATCTGCATTGGTGTATTTCAGAAGAATTTAGTCTTTTCGGTTGTGACAGTTAATGTTCAACACTTGTTTTATTTCTAAATACTTGGGTCATATGGCTGTATCACACGTACGGATTTATGTCATTTTTCATGTACATGTACTCCTACATACCGTGTGAGGACCGAGGTAACAAAAAAATCACATCACATTTACATATGCTTTTGCAATGACTGATCTGAGTTTGATATGAAGTTTTGTAACTCAGCAAGAGTTACCAAGATAGGCCTACTGTATTTTGGGAAGATCCACTTGATTCAGGAGGAAGAGATATCAACTTAAATTTATCTTTAGTCACATATGAGAGGTGTTTCACTTTACAAAGCACTGTATAAGTATGCTTCGTGCACGTTTACCGACAGGCCCCATATCTTTGTACAGACAGAAAAAACAATGAAAGGATAGGCGCATAGAATAAGACACGCGTATACCAACCGTGATTGTCAAGGTTTCTCCTTCTTTGTCCTTCATACCACCTTTAAATTTGTTATACACTGGATCCTCAAAGTACTCCAAGTCGACATCGTTATCCTGAGACCATGTCAACAGTTGAGTGACCCCATCCATGATGAAGCCAAAGGTCAAGTTTTCATTGCTTATGTCGAGGTCTGTTATGTTCGGAGATGGGCACCGCATCTCTGTTGCAGATTCACCTTGACATTCCTGCAAAATAAAGACCCACATCAGGCAGTTGATAATTCCGGTCAGCATTAGCTCCGGTTGACAATGGCACCCCTCTTTGTTTCTACTCTAAAACAGAAATATTTTTAATGATGTATTGGCTGTCATTCTTTACATAGTACCCTTTTTGTCATTTTCACATTTAAAGTGGTCGTTCGCGGTAACTCAGCAATATAGAAGATTTAAAAAGTTTCCTAATTATATATGTTGGAAGAGTGGAGCAAGTAGCTATATTGTGATCGGTGGTTAAGTGGAAGTTGAGCAGGGATAGGACGGTATAACACATTTCTCACCTCATTTGCATTACTGACAACGATTTTACGGTTTCCACTTGTGTTTAGAAAAGTGCCAGTAACCGTCAAAGTTCGACCACCCCTGACAATTAGAAACACCGATGGCAAATACTGAAAATACATTTCATACACTGAAAGATATTGGCTGGTGTATAGAATCAATTTAAACAATTTAGAAATGTATACGCACATGTTCACTTCAGATATTTTGAGCAAATGACATTTTGAAGTTTAGAATAAAGCATAATATTTCACTGTTCACTCAGTTATCAGTAGTCTTCGGTGATAAGATGATTTGTAGTAACCTGCTTCTTAAAACAATCAAGCATAAATTTGGCTGTAAGCTTGCTGTCTTGAAAGCGTGCCTTACAATAGAAACATAACATTTCACAAAATTAAGACCTAGACAAAAATTTCTTTTTACTCCATTTTTTGTTTGCATTTAAAAAGTTTTAAAACACCGAAATTCTCTTTGGACAATACAGTCTGTAATGATTTACTAATAATGTGGATGATGCCAATTGAAGTATATAGCCCATGGTAAAACAGATGAAGACAAAAAAATCATGTAGACTCACGAATTGATGCTTTTCAGAGGAGACACCTTAGTAATGGTGGGATTCTCAGTGTACGTGTACATATCTGATGAGGTTCTCATGGCCCCATCAAAGGAGACTTTCACAACACCTTGATATCCAACTTGGCCAGCAGTGGTTGTGCATTCTAGCACGGATTCAACCGGTTTGCTTTACAATTTGGGAAAGAAAAAAATCACTTGAGACAGAGGCCATGCAGAGCTTTCTGCACAGACGTAAACGTGAATTCATCTCTGTGTATGATGCTCCTTAATACTGAATGGATGTATAGCAATTATTTTTCAAGGTAATTGGAAATTGGACAGGATAAAGTAGTTTTTTATAATGAAATATATAACTAACAAAAGCCGTTCCACAAAGGCGGAAAAGGAAAACCTTTTTAACAAAATCTAAGCAACTGAAGCTTGATAGAAGTCCAAATGACTTTGTTGAAACTAGAAATTGTACCGATGTTGGGGAGATCCCTCTTTTTCCTGAATTAATAAGTATCGTACAAAACACTGTTATTTGTTTCCATTGAATGCTTCAATAAATGTCATTCCAAAGGGGAAAATTAGACAATGCTCCGATTTTTGCCGTATGCGCAACAATTTAAATAATGACGTGTATTAGGAAAGAGGCACAATACCTTGTTATGTTGCAAGGATTGTCGCCGATGAACGCTGCAATATTGCGTCCTGTGTTGAGGGCTGTACCATTCACACTTACTGCCGTCCCACCGGCTTCTGGGCCAAGGCGGGGTTGGACATGTGTAATCGATGGGTCCTGTTAACAAAATACATCTTATAAAAACAATTTTAGAACTGTGTTTGTCAGTGTGTAACCTCCCGAGTGAAAGTTGGAGTCCCACCCGAGTGATTTTTTCCAACTTTCACTCGGGAGGTAACACACTGAGAATACAGTGTTAAAACGTCGGTGAAGGGCGAAACCTTATTTGATTTATATCACCCCGACGCAAAATTCCATCTTATAAAAATATGCGGTACCCGCTGCTATGCACATCAGATTCGAACCAGCTAACCGATCCCGTTAGCTCGGTAGTCGAGTGGTAAGACATCTGCACAAGAAAGCAGGAGGTCGTGGGTTCGAGTCCCACCCGAGTGATTTTTTCCAACTTTCACTCGGGAGGTAACACACCGAGTATACAGTATTTAAACATAGGTGAAGGGCAAAACATAATTTGATTTATATCACCCCGACGCAAAAATTCCATCTTATAAAATTATATTATTGTTGGCCGGAATAAGTATTTGCTAGTTACTCGTGCATAGAATCCTCGAGTATTATTGATTTTAAATATTTTGACGTTTCAAACGTAAATCTGACCTACGTTTTAGGAAATTCACTCAAATGCCAGGGATTTTTCCAAATATCCTTAAAGGGAAAATACAACATTTGCAAACATCAAAAAATAAAACTACAAAATCATTTTGAAATACCTTGCTGGACTGTTAGTTAATGACAGTGTAAAGCATCCTGTAAAATAATGGCACCTGGTATACTGTCATTTTCAAGAAAAGTGGTATTTTTGTATCAATTTCCAACGCTGATCGGCCGACCAGCGTTGGAAAAAACTGGCTTTTTTTCAAATACTGGCCCCAGTTGACCATCGCACTTGTTTGCAATCGATTACACACCTATGAACGGGTACAAGCCAGCTAGACAGGTTCCCTGACCTTACAATTCCCCAGTGTATGTAAACTGCTCTGTTTCTTCTTAAATGGAGTCAGGGAACCAGACTACAGGAAAATGATTGTTTTTCTTGGTTTTTATAGCATTTTCGAACCCAAAACCTCAAAAAAGTCAGTGTAACTATATTTGCTATATATTTCCAACCCCCCAATTCCATCCATTTCTGAAAATTACAGCAAAAGCAAATGATGTATATTCCCTTTAACTCAAACATACAATTTTTGGTGTGAAAATATCAACTAATGCAGCTAACATATATCTTATCATTGCTCCAGCTGATATAATGTGGTGCCGAACTGCTAAGAAAAGAACATTCGTGAACAGATCTCATTCGTGATCATACATTCAGTGATTACTATTTCAGTGTAAACACATTTTTTTGGACGCTTGTTTCTTTTCCAAACAGGTTCCTCAATGAGTCAGTGTACACGAGTGCGTGCAGGACGTGACTTACTTTGAAGTTAAAGTTGAACGTTCCTAAGCTGTGTTGCATGGTACCATCTGCACCCGTGACTGTCAAAGTAACCAACTCGGCTCCTTCACTTTCTGCTCTCGTTCTGCAGCTGACACTGAAACATAAAGTGATATGTGACATTAAGACAAGGATGTTCAGCAAGACCACATCCACTCGGTACAGTTTTAAAATTAAAATTTAACAATGTTCCACAACATGGCAACAAAAGTAAAGTAATTTCCTTGCACGAAGTATGATTTGACCCTACCTTGCTCCAATTTGGTAGTCTGAGTTTAATCCAGCCAGATCACAGGGCTGATCGCCAACCATCACACTCACGACATCCTCAAATCTCCGACCGATATCAGTTCCCATCACATCTATGACTGTGTTGCCTTCAATGGGCCCAGTCAAGGGAAATACCTAATGCGTGATTGGAAACAATAATAACATAACACACCAAAGCAAGTACATGTAACATGAAACAATGCATTTAAATACAACACATTTTTAGTAAAGATGCATTGGTAAATGCTGTTGAAAGACAACTTGTTCAGCTTGGTGGCTCATATGCAGTCATCCATATAAGCCTACTTTATAGACCATACACCTTTGCTTATGCAGTCATACGAATTGCGGTTTTTTTCATCTTGCACATGACAAAATTTCCCTTTTTTACCTTGTCACAAAGGCAGGTCAAATGGATACAAGATGTGCTTCATTTGCTGGCAGCATTCTTTAATACTTTGTGATATATGGATAATTACAAACATGTTGACAAGTAGCCTCGCCTGGAATATTAATAAAGAATATTCAAACGAATAATATTCAGCTTGAGAGTTTATAGCTTACCTCACTCAGAACTGGATCAGGGCAGTTCAATCCGTTATCCAAAGTCACCCTATCTTCACTGCAAACTTCATTCAGTTTGCAAACACCAGACTCGCTCGGCATGGCACCACACCAAACACATTCGAGTACTGGGCGGGCTGTAACACAACGGCTGCAGTCTGGCTTCTGGACTTCACACTTGTACAACGATACTGTTTGGTGTGAGCAGAATACAAGATAATCTCATGTCTTTCATTCAATTCGACATTTTAAAGAACAACCTCCAATGCAAAACTGTTGATAACAAACAGTTTTGCATTGGAGGTTGTTCTTTAAAATGTCGAGTTGAATGAAAGACATAAGATTATCTTGTATTCTGCTCACACCAAACACAATCATGAAGAGTTTATTTTAAAAACTTGAAATACCAATTTTCACCCCAAAAAGTAAAACGTTTGCACGGTTCTGAACTTAAAATAATAAGAAACAAACATAATTTTTGTTTTGTTGTATTCCTAAATTCGATACTGACTTTGGGCAGCCAGGAGTGGGTGTGATTCTAAAAGGTAATAACTTGAGGTTTATCATGTTTTGGAAAAAAGTCTTCATATACATGTATAACCATTTTAGACTGACGAAAGCGTGAATCTCCTTAATCAGTCCTTATTCCTTACCGTCAAATCCATGTATGTCATCTAGGATGTGCGCAACACCGCTTGTGTCAGTCCATGAAACAGACAGTTTCACTTCCATCTCTGGTTCATCATTGGATAGGTAAGTGTACTGTTGAAGGCAAGCAAACAACCTCACCTTTTAATACCTGAAGCTCAAAACATCAACATTGTGTCCAGCCAGTATGCAAAATAGAGAATTACTTTCATTTTTATCAAAGAGATTAGCAATCCAAGGATACAATAAATATAAGTTTAATTGTAGGTATAACCTACAGCCTTATCTTGGCATGTGACTCTGTCTCCATTGCGGTCTGCATCTACAAACTGAGGTGATCCCTCAACGTCTAAGCTGCACTGATATCTAGAAATCTGCACATGGAAAAGAAAGGTATTGACAACCAATTTTTTTTTTTTTTTGCAAATGAAGTGAGTCAGGAAAGAGTATTAAAAACTAAGATTTTCTTGGCAGTATTTCCTTTCATGGACTCGGTAAAAGGTCTTTGAAAGTAAACAGCTTTCTTTGAAAATTCAATACATGACAATGCGATGTTTATAATTATTGCATGCCACCAAATGGCAATTCAAGAGCAGCTTATCATTCAAATATTAACCTCTATCTAAGCACACGCGATGTTAATGATTATGGTAATGTATAGGGTGCATAAAGCATTTGCAAACTGCACCGACTACACTGACCTCAAGTTTACATAGAGGGTCCAAAAATAGTTATCATACAGCTAATGATAACTTTGCAATTCACTTTGCATTTAATTCATTTAATTCAAAGTCATAAAGAAGGTCAGATATCTAGAACAATAGCATTTAGCAAACTATATCGGACAGTATTCCAAGGGGGAGTTGTATTTTCTTCTTGGGGATGAATTAAGCAAGGTTGCAAGGTTGGTATGAAAAATGTCACTCTCAGGCATTGACAAGGGACTTTTCTGATAGACGGGGGTTATCAGATTACAGATTGTCATTGTGTTTGTTGAAGGTTTTTTTTCCAGACATTAATAAACAAACCTCAGCTTCATTTGGAAGGTTTGCAGTCATGATAGTGATGCTCCTCATAATGTTATTAGGAAGCAAAACTTCAGCAGTCCGGTTCAGCAGTTGAGGGCAAAACTCAGGTCCTTTGACTGCAGAAGCTGTTGGATTCTGTAGGTAAACGCCAACAAACAACAAACTATGTCATTGCCTCCCCAAAAATATACATCTGCTTCGATTTGAACTAATGATCTACAGAAATCTGATAGAAATGATCTAGTGTCCAAAATATAAATATAATTTCAGATACTTCCACATGTACATGACAATTAGTGTCATTTTCAATAACTAATGCGCAAAATACGTATTAACTGAATAGTAAACATATAGGATTCTACAATCAAGAAATTAAAGTCAAACTTGGGTTTTTTTTTCAAATTTTGTCTTGGCTTAGCTCTTATATTTTTGTTCTCACGTTATCTCCAGTAATGATGATTTCATTAGGTCGTGTGCATGTGGAGCTTTCATGAGAACATCTGTTCTCAAACACGCACCAATCACAGGCCCAGCGACTACCAACGCAGGATACACAGCTACGCAAAAAAACAAAGAGAACTGCATTATTAATAGATTAAAAAATCATCAGGAAAACGTACTAGGGGAGAAAATAAGCATTTAAACAACCTAAAGGAAAACAAATTGAATTTCAAATACAACTGATTTATACTCACGAGGTGTGCGTTGAACACTCGTAGAAGTAGAAGTCGGTGTCTATGAATTGAACTGAAGTTTCAGATGACTCGACACCCAAATCTACATGTACTGCATCATCTAAGTGATAAATAAGAACAAAATCACCTTGTTTATGAGTTGAAACAGACAATTCGAAAATGAGCGTGTATTTTTAAATTACTACGAGTTCAAATCGATTTGTGTGGGTACAAAATGTAGACATCATTTTCATGCTAACAGTAAGCACGTCAGTGTATAAAAAATTGTACTGCCTACGATCACATTCCTCTGTTGATATAATGCAATTGATTTACAAGCATCATTTCATTCTAGAATGGACAAGAAGGAAACTATAAGTCGACTTTTTGAGTGCTTGTTCTGTATATTTTGCCATAAATAACATCCTATGGATGTCTCTTATTGCACTTGCCTCCTTGTGGAATGGTAGGTATCCCATCACTAGGAGGTGACGTACACTCTAGTACTTCACCATTCTTCGTAGCTGGAGATTCGAATGACCCGAAATAACATTCATAACTCTGGCTTGTCCCTAGATCGGGTAACTGCTGCACAGTCAGGGTTATCTAAAAAGGGAAAGATGAATACTAATAATTATTCATTTCATTAATATTCCAAGAACTGCAAGAACATAACTTCAGTGGTCAGGATACTCCCCACTCGCCAGGATAGATTTATGCCACTAAACATAGTTGAAATAACATTTGGTGAGCTCACTTAATGACTGAGAATGAGTGACAGGTATATTACACGAAGCACAACATTCTGAATCATTCCGACGCATGGTGACATATTTTCTTAGAGAGTCACAAATTTCAAAACATAAAAAAAAACAATTTGACATCAAATAAACAGGTCTCTGTACAAAGCCAAAATTTCAATAAGAATACAGAAAAAATACAAAATTTACTCATTACAATTAAGGAGGCAAAATAATTGAGCCTTATATGATTGAACCATAGGCGTCGCTTGAACTATACATGTATAGGCGTCGCATTGATGAAAAATATTTCCGCGTACCTATAGGCCTATCTGGATATGTCCATAACAAATCTGCACTTTGAAGAAAGTGTTTAGTTTTAAAGTATGTTTCAATTTTGTTCCTATAAGGATGCGAGTAAGATGTAATCTCAATACATCTGGCTCTAGCTCACCTGTTGCTCAGTGACTGTGATTGGCAGGTTATCATAGGGAGCTACATCGGTCATACTTATGCACTGAGCTGCATTGTAGGCCAACCATCGAGTAGATACATCAGGTAAAGGACAGTCGGAATATCTCGTACATCTAAAACAGAATTCAATGTTATGATAAGGAAAGCAAAAACCAAAACGGAAAAACATGCAATGCTTTACTTTCAAGATTTCATTGAGAAACATCGTTTCTTTCACGTACACATAACATCGGACAACCATGTAATTAATGAATAGGCTCCTTGAACTTTATTTATCATATACAGTGTAAATAAAAAGGAAGTTCTTTCACTGACACAATCAACTAGACTGACCAGCTGTGGGAACTCTCCTAATAAATTACTTCCATTCCAGAGTGCACAACTTATATACATGAAACCTAATTGTTGCACCTCGTCTGAGTGTGATAGACTACCGTTCTTACAACTTCTCGAACGACCCACTCACACACTTTGGAGACATCCCGTGTGACTTACCTTCGTTCCAGAGTGCACCATCCACAATATGGGTCTCCATCATTCCGTGCATCAGTCCCAATACACGTTTCGCATGTAGTGTATTGGCCACAATTCTCAACGCGAAGCTTCACCAACTAAAGTGTAAAACAAATTGTAACTTCTTTTTACAATCTTAAAAAGTATTGATTTCATCATCAGGAAAGTTTTTTCTTAAAATCTTGAATCTGGTTTTTAGTTTACGAAGCAAAGGAACAATGTTTATTGTGTGCATTTGGCCAAATTTGCTATGCTTTTCGTTGTTATAAATAATACTCAAAGCACCGAATGGTTTCTGTGGCTTTTCATAAATGACTGGAAATCTGGTTGCTGTTAAAAAAACACATTTGCTTGTCAGCTTAGCTTTTGACTTTTCTGTTGACAAATCTGTCAACTTTTCTGCTAATGCGAAGCCCACGAGGGACGCTAAATCAAGCAGAGAAAGTTATTATTCAGTTAAAAGCATTCCTCCTCGGCAGGTTAGGTATGCGCTTACCTTTTGTTCTGTCAAGAGAAATAGTACACGTGTTGATTCATTAACCTTGACATCTGGCAGAACTGAACTGGTGTCAACGCTAATGCGTTCATAAAGTCGGCTGGTAGTGTTACTTTCCACATGAACCTAATGACAAGATGCATAATTATGACACATAGGCCTATATATTACTTAAACAATCTGTTTACACCGACATTGTACATAGAGAGTTAAGTTTTGACACGGACATGGTCAACCCGGCATGCACTGCTTGCCTTGAGTGTTTGTTCATGCAAGCCAATTTATTAAGAGAAACCAAAACTAGCTAATTGTTTCTCATTTAAAAAAAAATCAATGCGTCGTGATAGTTACCAAAGTCTCGAGTGCAAGGGGTGTGAACGAAATGGTTTGAAATAAAACTGTTGCTACACATTCCAATTTAGGGTCTACGACGACTTCAGCCACACATTTAAATCGATTAGGGATAATTTACCTTGAGTAGATGCCCCCTCGATGTCCCGATTAAAGCGATAGTGTGGTTGACTTCTATTGTAGTTATGATGGATGACATGAGAGTACCAGGCAGCTCTAGAATTGCCGCAGATGGAACGGGGCCTATGCCCTTGGCGTACTTGAATAATGGCGTTTGATTTTGATCATTGGCCACGGGTATGCAGAAATAGCGATCCAGAATGGGAATCTATAACGAAAGTAGAAAGAAGAAACATGATTAAAACAGTTAAAGCAATATCGTGGTTCGGCAGTGGCAATTATCAAGACACATGAATCCAGTCAGTTCAAGGAAAGTCGTTGATGAAACGAGAATTTCAATTCAATTTAATTTAAGGGTTTTATTATCGATTCGTCGCATCCCAAAGCTGAATTGTGGATGATATACAATCAAGTACAAATATAACAAAACATTTGAATTACTTCATTCAAAAAATGAATCGTCATAACAAATTAATAGCTATCAATTAAGAATAAAATGAATAAGATGTCAAACAGAATAGCAATATAAGGACACACATAAAGAATATATATTTTATCTTCTAAGTAAACAATAAAGCAACATTCGTGCTGATGAAATTACGGTTGTTAATGAAATTTCGATTTCTATGTTATCATAACAAATTATCATACCCAAACTCACGCATTAACAATCCTATATCAGAAAAAAGAATGAGTGCTTTAGCGTGTTTATACAACCACACTGATACATCAACCAGGGGACTACAAAGAAAGTTACCTTGTTTTTACCATCATCTATGGTTCAATTACCTATAGTTTGCACCATTATTGCAGAAAGAAACAGTTTCAACCGTTCAGTTGATATAAAGTGGAGAAGTTGGACAGAGGGCTTGACTTTACACGACTGGTTTGCTATGAATTTTGGGGGCATATTTAGGGCCTACAGAGTAACAGACATTAAGAGCAGAATAGCGATGGCCAAGAAGCGCACATTGCAGTGGACCTGGTCCCTATCTGGAAAGATGGAGGCGTCGATACATTGCCAAAATGTTACATTTTATACTATTTTGCAGTTTTTCCTCTTCCCTATTCTATATTCACTCGTTGTTGTGAAATAGCAGCATATTTTGCACGTATACAGCGTGAGTAAAATAAAACGAAACCCAAATGTTGGGACCATTGTTTTATATGCAAACCCAATTCATAACCTTTCTTTTAGGCCAAAAAAAAGTCTCCGGTTTCTGGTATGCGCGCGCGTCGCCGTCGCCATGCGCGTCGGCAAAATGAAAAAGTTTTTTTTTCAATGAAAGATGATGTCTGAAAACCGCCAAACTCACTGGTTTGACTGGAATCCTGCTGCTGCACAATTTTAACGTGTTTTTAGATTGGGTTATGGTCGAGAATAAACTTTATGTGGCCTCTCTGGACTCCCATATATTTGCACTAAGTTTAATCGGGCATCATTTGCAGTCATCAGCCGACATTTGAAGCAAAAAAATCAGGTAAAAAAAAAAAAAAAGCCGCGTCGCCGCACCACTTTTTGGGCAAGCTCCATACCAGAAACCGGAGACTTTTTTTTGGCCTTAGTACTAGAATCATTCAAATCACCTATGTAATTTTTAAGTGATGGAATTTTAAACACAACCAGCGTTTTAAAGTTCTGTCCACGGATCACAAAAAGGTAAGTGTTCTTCCAGCAAAACGAAAACAAATCACGTAAGGATGTGTGTGAATTGTTTTCGTTTTGCTGAAAGAGTGCACACCTTTTTTGTGATCCGTGGACAGAACTTTAAAACGCTGGTTGTGTTTAAAATTCCGTAAATTGAAAAGTACTTAAGTGATTTGAATGAATCTTGCATTAAACAAAAGCTATGAATTGGGCTTTCATATCCTAGATTTAAAAAGTGATACTTGCAGAACTTCACTTAAACATTAGTCCCGACATTTGGATTTCACTTTTTTGACTCACCCTGATAGGTCTTAAATGTTTTTACAATGACTAAGACGACTCTAGACGATATTATTTAAGGTTAGGCAACCTGTGCACTTGCGTTGGGTTGAGTTGAGTTGGGTTAGATTTTCGCCACAAAAGTACAAGTAAACCGCCTTTTGATTTTGTAGTACGTGCAACGTATATATGCATACCTTATTCTCTCCAAAAAGTGGATTTTGTTTAGTTTGTATTATTTTTTTTTACGGATTTCATTTTGGGCACAAATAATCCGCTCTGTAAGAGCCAAATTAATGCCTGGCAACCAATAATTCGAAATTTTTGAAGAAATAATTCCATAATTAAATGTTGGTGGATTTTAAGATAAATGTGTCATTTAAAAGCGAATACAATTTATATTGCTAGGAAAATAAACCAAAAAATTGGGGAAAAACAGTCTACTTTTCGAGGTGAAACTCAAAACAGCACGGGGAATGCATCTTTGAATGTCAGAGAAATGGCAACATCTTTCTTAATATTCGTCTGTACTCACCACGAATGGTCTGCAAAAAGAACCCTCCAAATAGTCGATCTTGTTTGGCCCATTGTCATTATTGTTCCCATCCTGAATACATCCCCGCACTGCTTCTCTGAAGGCATCCAAGATATCCGTCATCCTGTACACACACAATGCTGAGTGATCGATGGGTACATCACTGGTACCCGGAGCTCCTTGGTTCTTGGCAAACACAGCATACAGCACCTGCTCGTCTGCAATGAGACCCAATGATGCCGCTAGATCAGGTCCTGCTGGTCCAAAGTGAGCTGCTTGCACCAAGCTGTACACACTGCCATCTGATCCACTGCACTGTAAGGTAATTTCTGTGTATGCGTCCATGGTTTCATGGCTGTGACAGACTCTGCTCATCTTAGAAACAAACTGCGCGGAATTCAAATCCTCTTTCTGGGAGGCAACGAAATATGTGAATCCATCAAGCTCGAAAGTCTCAACATACTTTATGGTATAAGATTCCCTTTCTGCCAAGTTATTGGAAAAGACTGTATCCGTTATGCGGGCTGATAAAAAGGAACTGCTGCCCAGGCTTCTTTTTGTAATTGCTGGAAAGAATCCTTCAGATTCAATATTTTCCCCAGTAAACGTAACAGCCACATAAAGCATCTGTTGTCCAACTCTTCCTGGAGCAATTAGACTAACAGTAGATGCATCCTCAAACCCAGCAACGTAAGGAACTGACTCCATCATCACGTTACTAATATCCTGTAACTGCCGTAACTGACAAATACCATCATATACACCGCCACAGGTTATCAAACTGTTTGGCCGAGTACTGTCAACTACCAGTATCTTGTTGTAGTTATTTGTAAGGTGGCAGGGCATCACACTATCTGGCCTGCTGGCATCACAGGTTGAAACATTCTGTTTCTCTTCCAAACTACCGTCCAACCTGTACAACCAATTGACAGCTCCAACATACACATCGCCATGGTCACTCAAGGTAAAATGGTTGAACTTTGAATCACGACTTTGGGGTTCATTCAAAATATCAGGATTGCCAAAGCTGGCCAACTCATAGTCTGACAGGTCTCCGTGCCACTCAGCTGATGTGATAAAAACATTTATGCAGATGACGCTCCAAGACAGAGCAATTGCCCACAAGAGGGCGGAGTGTCTCCTACTAGACTCCATAATATTTAGTTCACGGGGATGTTTGAGATGGCAATGCATCGTTTTGTACAATGCGGTGGGTCATAGAGAAAAGTCTATAGCCACAGGCTGTAAAAAAAAAAGAGATAAAATAAAAATTACCAAGGTTTATAGTAAAGTAAGGGAACCCATACAATGAAAAGATTTACAGATAAAGGATGGTTCTCCTTATTTCTAACTGATTTTTTTTTACAAACGTTCTAACTGTTGGTTTTGCACAAAGTCAATTTCTGGTTATGAAACGAATGTCCAGATCGGATCTTTCGGACCCTTGTTCAGAGCCTAGAAGTTTCAAGAAAAAAGGTTCTCGTTCGTTTACCTGAAAAATATACAAAAGGGTGAAAATTAAATACTTTTATGATTGAAGAGACAAAACAAAATCCAAAAATAGGACTGGATGTCGATTTCATTGTTTGTATCGTTCTGAAAAAAAAATACACACAACTTTTTCCACCTTCGTGGAAAGGAAAGTGGAAAATGTTTTGGTGTGATATCCAAAAGCAGTTGGCATCGATGAACTGGTTAACATCGATGAACTGGATAGTTAATGTCATACTCGGTTCTTCGATTATTCAGCACCCGGATCTACTACTTACCAAAAATATCGAGCTGCAACAATATTAATGGTGGAGAACCATTAACAAGGGTAGCAACACCTTTAAAACTTGGATTTTGTTCGAATGGGGCTTTTGTTTCTTTTTAAGAAAAAATGGCCTGTGAAAACACAAACCAAGGAATACCTTTATCAAATATAAAATGTTATACAAAGTTTAATGTCACGTGACTTTCAGGAACATTTTTACAATGCTGGCAAAATTGAGGAGAATTATTCTGAAGAATTTGGAAATTGAAGGCTTGAGATGATGAATGTCTTTAAAGCTGGATATTAAACCGAAATGTTGTCGTCCTTTTTGTCAATTAAGCGTGACCTCTTTTCGTTGATGTTCTATACAGATTAAATCTTAAATGTAACCCTTATTGATATCTTTTGACTGAAAGCAGGTTCGTACAGTCCATCTGTTTACCGCTGGCCCTCTTAAGTGCAAAACGGTGTAGAATTCCACATTTAGTCTATACGCCCATAATTCCCCATTCGTTCTTCCTCATAAATAATTTATATTCTACTACACTGTGGAATAACCGATGACTGCATGGCGACTGTTTGAAGCTGTGGGGAAAAGTGATTAATTCAAGATATCAAACGTACCTGATAATGTAGGCTGAATCATTAGCACTCAGGAAATAGTCTGTGACATTTGGAAATATTGGATTGTCCGATAGCAGTCACATCTATAACAGAGCTTGACGTGTGACAATTGCGTTAACCAGCACTAGTAACCGTGCCTAATGGGCTAGACGCAGAACAGCTAGTTGTAGTAGTTTAGGCGGTCTCATGTGTGCGAAGTGATTCTCCTCAACATCCCTCTGCTTAGTCTAAAGAGCAAAAGTTGAGTGACTGATGCTGGTGTCGGTACTCCAATGAAGGTTGTTCATGTTTGTTAAATCACTCTCTGCCGCTCAGCCCATATATAGCCACAGCAACATGAACACACCAAGAGTGGCAACAATCTAATGTCGATAGGGTGCGCAGTGCAGTACTGTATACACATATTGATAGAAAAACATGTTAAATAGAAAGGTTTCTTCATGGGCCAACGATCATCATTTGTTAAGTTGCCGTAGCTGAGTTTCTACATAGGCCTGGTTCAAATTTTGGGTTTCGTTTCCGGGTGTTGAAACTCAAGGTCTTTTTAACAGTTCCCTGAACGGTTGGTGAACTCGCTCAGTTGACAGTACACTCAGTGTAAGTTGTTACTGTGACGAACAAAATATTTTTTTTAAAATTACTGCCTGGTTTCTAAAGTTCTCGAGACTGACAAGAAATCTAGTTGTGACGAAGACAAATCCAATTCACAGTGAATTTTCCCTTTTATTGTTGACTATTACTCCAAAAAACTTTCTGTTTTACTTTGATTAATTTAAATGTCTGGTAAACTTGTACTGTTTATAAAGAGAGTGTAGTCCTAATCTTTCTCACCGTTCAAGTTCCGTAAAACAACTTATGAAACCATAGAAATTCAGTATTTCGTCATGACACGCAATAACCTCTCTGTCTAGTTTTCAGTTATGCTCCGGTTCTGTTGATTTTATAATGCCAGCATAACCGCTCAGCATTACGAGATTGCAAAAAAATGTTTTCTGGCAATAAACCCAGCTTGTCTGGATAAATCACGAAGCTAAGGATCGAGTTGTATATCCGACTGACAGGAGGTGTGTAGGAATAACTGGAGACAACCAAGCGAGGAGTGTCCGTGATGAACGGCTGAGCCTACACTCGCAAAACCCAAGATGTTCAACTCCACATGCAGTAGAAAGAGAAGTCTATCGGAGTGTACAATTCTACAAAACATGACTTATTATGTACAGGTGAAGTCACGGTTGTTTAGCTCGAAGCGTATATAATTGCTAAGGTATGTCATCATTATGGGAGCGACTCCAGCTACGAATTTCCGCAAGTTGTTTCCGGAAGCACACTGACGCTATTAACATTACGTGTATTCAACTGCAGGGCAAATACTAATTTACATTGGTTTCGATGAAGTAAACACTGACTGTATTATAGAAGCACTACAAAGACGGTGTCAAGTTTAACAAAGGTTTGGTTGAACTACTTCCTTGAGAGGTACTTTGACACGATGGGAACAGACTTTAGTTTCCTGGTGCATACGTTAGGGTTTATCACATACACAGGTTATACTGGTCAAATTGGCAAATAGATTGTTTTGTTTCACATGTCATTTTCATGGACTTTACACAATTTTGTTGTACTTATAAATTTCCGTCTCACACTTATTCAAACGTGTAGTTAGGTCTGACTGCAAAATACTATTTTGCCATGTTGTGGAGGGACCGTTTTTCAAGATGGCTACTTATTTTATTTGGGTCTCCCGGATTTCCATCCAATCTCATTATAAAAAGTCAATAATAGTGTTGTTATTACTTGATGCATTTTCAGGTGTTTACGGTGGGATGAACTTAGTCGTACAAACCAATTAACACTGCATGAAAATAAGACTGACGCTGGTTTTTTCCAAAGATGTGAGTTGTATTCTATGTTTTATTTACATGCAGTTCTTTAGTATTGAGTAAAACAAACCACTGACTTCTCCTATCGATTGATGTATTTCATTTCTCTTTATGCGGTGTGTAAGTGTGACTTCATTTCAACTTAACCATGCTGCTGCACATAGTGTAGCATTGGAACCAATGGAACCGGAAGTAAGTGTATCTGGAGTTCTTAGCCAATGGGCGCTATTGATCAGTGGGGCGCGCGCGTGTATATGACGCAGTCACTTACGAACCGGATAGTATCACTCCTGCCAAAATATGGTGAGGACATGCTTTCACATAACTTTCATGTCTGTAACCATAATACCAACAATCATGTAGGGCCTACAAATACAACTTACAAGCTTGAATATGCTAAATTGCGCAGTATGATATTATATTCAGATAAACGTAGTCAACTAAGCGTATAGAATTATATCGAATATATCGCATATAAAAGTTGCAATTAAGTCAAGTTGTATTTCTGCATTATCGAGGCAACATATGTGAGCGGCTTTTCTTACCTTACATTAAGAACTATTTTACAAAGGTGTGTTTATTTTTTGAAACAGCTTTGATAGATGTCTCTCCTCTCACACATAAAAAACACGATGCAATTTATGTAAATGCAGCAATTTACATAAGGTAGAACGCATATTAATTTGGCAAAATAATGCATATATGCACGTGGCATCTGTCTTCACAGACTAGTTTGTAGGAATATATGAATCTCCACTAAATACCAATTCAAAGGGATTCCATTTTTTTTTTCATGAGAGTGTAATGGTACAGTTGTGTTGACAATGGAATATCCCTCAATCATTTGTCTGTACGAAGGCGAAAACCTGTGCACACGCGATTACGTTAGAACAGATATTTAGTCAGCTAGCAGGCCTGCATGTACATGTATTGAAAATATAACAAGTAATGTCAATTATGTAATAGAATATATGCAGATGGAGCATTCAAATTAAAAATGCCGATTTTAGTCGTTTTTGTATTGATTTAAACCAAGATTTAGATTAATGATTAAAATAAAATAATTCAAATCAAACAACCCTGCTCCCCAAAACTATAAGAATAAGAAGAAAGTCATCGGATAAATCGATCTGTCTGTGAAATGTTTGTGATTCAACACATCTGAACTAAAATTGTCTTAACATTTTAAACAGAAATTCAATGTTGGCTATAAGTTAGCAATATACCATTGCAATGCTAATAATCTAAATAAAAAGGTGATTAAATATATATATCTGTATCGAATGAATCATGATCCAAAAGCAAGATTAAATCAAATCAAATGAAAATCGAATACATGTATGAGCATTTATACAGCACTCGGTGCTAACTACAATCATTGTTAGATCTCCAACTCTACAACTTTTTAAAATAAATCTTTCGAAGGTATTTACCAACTTATTCTGGTGTTTTGTTAACCTGTTAAGTCAGTTTGTTTTTCTACATTAACTGGCAACCATTTAGCAGCTTCTGTTACCTTGCTTAAAGAACGTCTTTACAAAATTGCTAATTTTTCGCACCTTCGACAGAACACTCTCCTTTCACCATTTTTTAAACACTTTTAAAGGTAAACAAGATATCATCTCATGAAATGAGCTACATTTCATATTTATTTCGCAGAAGAATGCATATGCACGTGTCATCTGTCTAAGTATATAGGTCTTTTTACTGGTGTTCCAAATATACAAATTATGTCAATTATGTAATACACTATTTATCTTAATAATTAAATGCTGAAAAACAACTGTGTACAATACGTTAAACAAAATAACATTACTATTAGTGTTTGCTCCAAATTTTAGTTTTATAGCGATACCGACAGTCCATAATTTATTGATAACTTCACCCATTTTTATATAAATGTTTTGTGCAACTTGCAGGAATCTGTAAAGAAATTTCCCAGTCGGCAAG